GACACTAAGATTTATAGTAAAGTGGGAAGTGAGAATGGTATTGAGGCCTTACAAAGACATCTACACGAACTCAGTCTCCGTGGTGCAGTGGTAAGACACTCGCCTGGCGTTCCGCGAGCGCTTTGACATGGGTTCGTATCCTGGCCGGGGAGGATTTACTGGGCGCAATTCCTTAACTGTAGCCTGTGTTTAACTCAACAGTAAAATGTGTACTTGGTTGTAACAAGGATTCTTCGCGGCGGGGATCGTATTCCAGGGACCTGCCCGAAACCCTACGCGTACTAGTGGCTCTACAACCATGTAATAACTCTTGTATATATCTCAAAAAAACAAATTCTACAAATGGTCAGAAGACTGGCAAATGCTTTTTAATATCACTAAAAGCAAGACCTTGCATGTGGGGCATAACATCCCACGCCACAACTACCAAATTAACAGCATTACCTTACAGCACATTGATGACGAAAAGGACCTTGGAGTCAGACTCCATCAATCACTGAAACTTGCACAACATGTGGGAGCGGCAGCTTCCCCCCAAAAGCTAATCAAACCCCTGGGAATAATGAAGCGTACCTTTACCTTTAAGGAAAAGAAGGTGGTCATTGAATTGTATATGTCTCCGAACAAATCCACAAGGGCCGTGACGAGGATTCGAACTTGCGTCCGGGAGCCTATATAAGTCTCCGGTGAACTCCTACGTGGATTATTGCCTCCAGGCATGATGACTAGGGACCAGATTCACGAAGCAGTTACGCGAACACTTACAAACCTGTACATCTTTTCTTAATTTGGCGGCTTTGTTTACAATTATTAAACAGTTAATGAGCTCCGAAGCACCAGGAGGCTGTTTATAACAATAACAACAGTTGATTGGCAAGTTTTCATGCTTGTAAACTGTTTAATAAATGTAACCAAAGCCGTCAAAGATTGAGGAAAGATGTACACGTTCGTAATTGCTTGTGTAACTGCTTCGTGAATCTGGCCCCAGGTTCGTAAGTACTTGTGTAACTGCTTCGTGAATCTGGCCCCAGGTTCGTAAGTACTTGAGTAACTGCTTCGTGAATCTGGCCCCAGGTTCGTAAGTACTTGAGTAACTGCTTCGTGAATCTGGCCCCAGGTTCGTAAGTACTTGAGTAACTGCTTCGTGAATCTGGCCCCAGGTTCGTAAGTACTTGAGTAACTGCTTCGTGAATCTGGCCCCTGATCTTCAGTAAGACGTAGATTCACTGGAGAAAATTCAACACCGGCCAATAAAAATAATTCCAGAACTAAGTCAACTCTTATACCAGGTAGCCGGTCTACCGAGCGGACAGCACGCTGGACTTGTGATCCTGTGGTCCTGGGTTCGATCCCGGGTGCCGGCGAGAAACAATGGGCAGAGTTTCTTTCACCCTATACCCCCTGTTACCTAGCAGTAAAATAGGTACCTGGGTGTTAGTCAGCTGTCACGGGCTGCTTCCTGGGGGTGGAGGCCTGGTCGAGGACCGGGCCACGGGGACACTGAAAGCCCCGAAATCATCTCAAGATAACCTCTCAAGAAGAAGGACAGCTTGACGGCCACAGTGACCACAACACTACAAACCGGACATGATAAGGCTGATCTCATCGAAGCGTTCAAAAATATTTAATATGGAAGATGTTGATCCGTCTTAAAACGTCTTAAAAAGATGAGATGTAACACAAACAAGGACCAATGGTTTCAAACCCACAGGGTTATAAACCCACGGAACCGCCTACCCGCCGAAGTCGTAAATGTAAAGACTGTTGTTTTTTAAAATGTTCAACTTGAAACAAATCCTCAGGACAAATGCACCATACTCTACACCCACACAGTCAGGCACCATACTCTACACCCACACAGTCAGGCACCATACTCTACACCCACACAGTCAGGCACCATACTCTACACCCACACAGTCAGGCACCACACTCTACACCCACACAGTCAGGCACCATACTCTACACCCACACAGTCAGACACCACACTCTACACCCACACAGTCAGGCACCACACTCTACACCCACACAGTCAGGCACCACACTCTACACCCACACAGTCAGGCATCACACTCTACACCCACACAGTCAGGCACCACACTCTACACCCACACAGTCAGGCACCACACTCTACACCAACTGATGGATCATAATGGAACGATTACCAGCACCTGGAGGTCCTGTGTCAAAATACACGTTTTTCATAGCAACTCGAGAGGAGAGAGAGAGAGAGAGAGAGAGAGAGAGAGAGAGAGAGAGAGAGAGAGAGAGAGAGAGAGAGAGAGAGAGAGAGAGAGAGAGAGAGAGAGAGAGAGAGAGAGAGAGAGAGAGAGAGAGAGAGAGAGAGAGAGAGAGAGAGAGAGAGAGAGAGAGAGAGAGAGAGAGAGAGAGAGAGAGAGAGAGAGAGAGAGAGAGAGAGAGAGAGAGAGAGAGAGAGAGAGAGAGAGAGAGAAAATGAATGTCGACAGATGTAGAAGGAACACAAAAAACAAGATATATAATAGAAAAAAACTGCAGAAATTTGGAAAAGAACAATTTGTTGCAGAACACACACACACACATACAATGTTCTTGTCCCATGTGACAATCATTTACAAAACATTCGCGCTCACATTCTTGGCTTCGTGGGTGCAAAAATCAGTTAAGTGTTCCTGCCGTAGATTCATTTGCGGACCGAACCCCATTAGAGATGCTATTAATACCACTTTAATTAAGTAATAATACACCTCTGGATACATTATAGCGCTGACATACCCATGTATAACAATTATATTGGTCGAAGGGAGAATTGTGGCCCTTTCCACAATTTCTTCTCTTCCATAACGAACAACGATTAATTGTAAATTTTTAGGCTAGTAGTACGAGTATTTTTTTGTTTTGGGTTTTTTAGTAGTGGGAGTATTTGTTACAGCACGTGTCGGAAGTCACAGAGTCCGTTTTTAAAAATAATCACAAATGATTCTTTAAAGTTGTAATGTTCATGTCTTTGGGTTTAGGCTATTGTCGCTTATTTCTTTTCCTTCTCCTACGGTGCTGTCAAGACTTGATTTCGCAGCCTCGTAGGGTTAGTAACAGGGAGAATAAGAGGTATAAAAAGGCTTGAATCTTAAAAGTTTGGTGGCATCTAGGGGGGGGGGGGGGAGGGGAAGTTTTACTGCGGCATTCGGCAACCTAGTGTTTTCCTTGGGTCCGGAGTCACAGTTACCAAACCAACTTTACCAACAAGTTCTGATACACAAATATCTTTCGCGGATATAAATGACACAAACTTGCATTTCGAATAGCTTAAATAATTGTTTTAGAACGTTCGAAAAGATGAGAAGCTTTGGAATGGTAATTTTGTGAATGCTGTGAATGAATGGGTAACTGCAGGGTTACTTGCAAGAGTGGCTAAACTGTCTCTCGTGTTGTAGGCTCACGCGCCAGCTCAGAGAAACAGGTGACGCGCTCCCCAAATATTGATCCTCGAATATACAGCTATGACTCTGCTGTCTCGCTGTCACCACATTTTTTAAAACAGTAAACCATTTAACTGACATATTTATAAAATGTAGCATACTATGATATGCAACGATACATCCGCCTGTCCGTCCTACAGTCAGAAAATAATAATACACAATTTCATGGCTTCCTTTCCGTCCTATAAGCTCTGCTACGTTCCAGAACGAGTCTCTATTGTACTAGCGATTTGGAACCAAATCCAAAGAAAATTCTATTAACTCTTTCGCTTAGCTTACTCCATGGCGTCTTCCTGATCGCCTCAAAATAAACAAGAGTACCTCTCCATAAACATCCCAGCTGCAGAAGCTAGCGGGAGACAACAGAAACCCGCGAAGCGTCTAAGACCAGGGTATAAATATATCAATGAATTGTGCAAGTGTTCCAGGCTGACTTAGGATCTGGAACGTGTGAATCATTGTGGGACGGGGCGTCCGGGGCGCCTGCGCCGTCCACGGAACAGGGAGGTGGTGGTGGTAATGTCGGAGCGAACAAGGCCGGGGAGCAGACTCGTACTTCTGCGGGCGAAACTACGGCCAGGATCGCGGTTGTGGTGGGTGTAGCGGCGGCCGTAAGGGGCGGCGGAGGGGCCAGCTAGGCGGCGTCGGGAGCTGCCACCGCCGGCAGGAGCCACGCCAACAGGAAGACACCACAGTCACACGGGGGGAGCCATGCTGGCTGGCCTCGACGGCTGCTGACAATTGTTGCTTCCAGTGAAACAGGTGGTAGTGAGGTGGTGACCGCTGGGGGCCCCTGCAGGGTGGTGGCCGGGCACCTCACCCCCACCAAACATGCACGACACACCTGGCCCGAGGGCGCCCCGCTCCTGACGAGGCCCTCTGGACAGCCCCGCCGAAGAAGAAAGCTACAATACTGTTGCTATGCCAGATGCGAGGCGCCCCGCGTCGGCGCCTCCGTCAGCCGCTGCTGTAGTGTCCGGATAGATCATGTGACCCCAACACTCAGTGCTAGATAACATGTTGGATATGCTGCATATCGGTGTTGAGTTCGAGTCCTGGTGAGAGGAGAGAGAGTGAGAGAAAACCTCTCCCCTCTTCCTCCCCTCATCCCTCCCCCACTCTCCCCTCCCCAGCAGCGTGTTGACGTGTCCTCAAGCCGCCCCCCACCACCCCTCTACACCCCCCACCACCCCTCTACACCCCCCACCACCCCTCTACACCCCTCCACCACCCCTCTACACCCTCCACGACCCCTCTACACCCTCCCACGACCCCTCTACACCCCCCACGACCCCTCTACACCCCCCACGACCCCTCTACACCCCCACGACCCCTCTACACCCTCCACCCTCTACACTCTCCACCCTCTACACCCTCCACCCTCTACACCCTCCACCCTCTACACCCTCCACCCTCTACACCCTCCACCTTCTACACCCTCCACCACCCCTCTACACCTCCCACGACCCCTCTACACCCTCCACGACCCCTCTACAACCCCCCACGATCCCTCTACACCCCCACGACCCCTCTACACCCCCCACGACCCCTCTACACCCCCCACGACCCCTCAGATGTCTGCCCCTCACGCTGCCTCGTGCCGGCAGTCCTCCCCTCAGGCTGCCGACGCCGCAGCCATGCCTCGCTGCTACCTTGTCAAGAAGGTCTCCTCCTCCTCCAGGGAGGTGGGGGGCAAGGGGTGCGTCGCCCCCACCTCCCCGACCGCGGCCGCCCCCGCCCCACCTACACCTCCGGATATAGCCGACCACGAGGCCCATACGCGTAAGTTGTTCACAGTTATCCTCACTGTAAGCCACAGTTGTCCTCACTGTACTCCACAGTTGTCCCTCACTGTACTCCACAGTTGTCCTCACTGTACCCCCACAGTTGTCCTCACTGTACCCCCACAGTTGTCCTCACTGTACCCCCACAGTTGTCCTCACTGTACCGCCACAGTTGTCCTCACTGTACCCCCACAGTTGTCCTCACTGTACCGCCACAGTTGTCCTCACTGTACCCCCACAGTTGTCCTCACTGTACCCCCATAGTTGTCCTCACTGTACCTCCATATCCTAGCTCATAGTACTCGACAAGTCGCCTCACTGTACCCCCCACTTCACTGTATTCCACCACCCACTACACTGTATTCCACCACCCACTACACTGTATTCCACCACCCACTACACTGTATTCCACCACCCACAACACTGTATTCCACCACCCACTATACTGTATTCCACCACCCACTACACTGTATTTCACCACCCACTACACTGTATTCCACCACCCACTACACTGTATTCCACCACCCACAACACTGTATTCCACCACCCACTACACTGTATTCCACCACCCACTACACTGTATTCCACCACCCACTACACTGTATTCCACCACCCACAACACTGTATTCCACCACCCACTACACTGTATTCCACCACCCACTACACTGTATTCCACCACCCACTACACTGTATTCCACCACCCACTACACTGTATTCCACCACCCGCTACACTGTATTCCACCACCCACAACACTGTATTCCACCACCCGCTACACTGTATTCCACCACCCACTACACTGTATTCCACCACCCACAACACTGTATTCCACCACCCACTACACTGTATTCCCCCACCCACAACACTGTATTCCTCCACCCACTACACTGTATTCCACCACCCACTACACTGTATCCCACCACCCACTACACTGTATTCCACCACCCACTACACTGTATTCCACCACCCGCTACACTGTATTCCACCACCCACTACACTGTATTCCACCACCCACTACACTGTATTCCACCACCCGCTACACTGTATTCCACCACCCACTACACTGTATTCCACCACCCACTACACTGTATTCCACCACCCACTACACTGTATTCCACCACCCGCTACACTGTATTCCACCACCCGCTACACTGTATTCCACCACCCACTACACTGTATTCCACCACCCACTACACTGTATTCCACCACCCGCTACACTGTATTCCACCACCCACTACACTGTATTCCACCACCCACTACACTGTATTCCACCACCCACTACACTGTATTCCACCACCCGCTACACTGTATTCCACCACCAACTACACTGTATTCCACCACCCACAACACTGTATTCCACCACCCACAACACTGTATTCCAACACCCACAACACTGTATTCCACCACCCACTACACTGTATTCCACCACCCACTACACTGTATTCCACCACCCACAACACTGTATTCCACCACCCACTACACTGTATTCCACCACCCACAACACTGTATTCCACCACCCACAACACTGTATTCCACCACCCACAACACTGTATTCCACCACCCACAACACTGTATTCCACCACCCGCTACACTGTATTCCACCACCCACAACACTGTATTCCACCACCCACAACACTGTATTCCACCACCCAGTACACTGTATTCCACCATCAACTACACTGTATTCTACCACCCACTACACTGTATTCCACCACCACTACACTGTATTCCACCACCACTACACTGAATTCCACCACCAACTACACTGTATTCCACTACCCACTATACTGTATTCCACCACCAACTACACTGTATTCCACCATCAACTACACTGTATTCCACCACCTGCTACACTGTATTCCACCACCACTACACTGTATTCCACCACCACTACACTGTATTCCACCACCAATTACACTGTATTCCACCACCCACTACACTGTATTCCACCAACCACAACACTGTATTCCACCACCCACTACACTGTATTCCACCACCAATTACACTGTATTCCACCACCCACTACACTGTATTCCACCACCCACTACACTGTATTCCACCACCCACTACACTGTATTCCACCACCAATTACACTGTATTACACCACCCACTACACTGTATTCCACCACCCACTACACTGCATTCCACCACCAATTACACTGTATTCCACCACCCACTACACTGTATTCCACCACCCACTACACTGTATTCCACCACCCACAACACTGTATTCCACCACCCACAACACTGTATTCCACCACCCACAACACTGTATTCCACCACCCACAACACTGTATTCCACCACCCACTACACTGTATTCCACCACCCACTACACTGTATTCCACCACCCACTACACTGTATTCCACCAACCACAACACTGTATTCCACCACCCACTACACTGTATTCCACCACCCACTACACTGTATTCCACCACCAATTACACTGTATTCCACCACCCACTACACTGCATTCCACCACCCACTACACTGCATTCCAC